ATTCAAAATTAATCTGAACAGGTACCTTGCTTATATACTAGAAACGTGTTACATCTAGAGTGAATAACCAGTGAATAACACACAGTGGACTCAGAATGGAAGTGAAACTGACATTCGCACAAATAAAATCGCTATACAAACATGAATAAGAAAAGGAAGAACGTCAAATCACAGAGATAAAATGTAGGTGCAACATTATAGCAGACTTCAGTAAGTGATGTAAACGTCAATATCATACGTTAATCAAACATCTGTAAAGCAAAAATTATGTTATTTAATATAAAAAATACAACAGTAAATTACAACTTCGCATTATCATAGTTGTGCTCAGTCGTAATCCTAGAGGCCAGAAACAAAATTAAGCAACAACTAATGTTTCCCAAGTTCGAGCGAGTTGAAACGTGGGAAATATTTATCGTAACACCAAAAACTCTATAAAATATTACATTATTAGCTCTCGTGCGCCATCTCGTTTGGTAGCCGATAATCCATCATGTTTCCAAGAAACAGCATCAGTCGAGCGTTTAGTTGGAGTTTCCAGACTACGGAACTGTCGTCTATAACGAAATGCAAGTTCAAGCATGAAAGTTTTATTATTGTTATTTCCCTTTTACCAATCACTGGTCACGTTGGCTCCTTCGTATTTCTCCATTGAGGCAGAAAGGCAATGTGTGCGAATAAAAAACATTTCGTTATTAGATTTAGAAACTTAGTACGACACGCCTAGAAGTTTAATCCAGACCTGTAGTTATACGTAGTAACTGTTAGTAACGCATCAGTAACGTGAAATATTCGTCGGTAAATGAGGAGATTAAGCTATAATATAATATATTCAGCAAAGTCGACTGGATTTTATACAACAGATCTGTACGAGGTTTAGATAACCTCCCTCTTCCAAGCATGTTTTAATGTATATTATATATATACATATGTAATCCATGTAGCCTCAAAAATGGACAAAAATAATAATTATAGATACCGAAAACTTTAGATCAAAGCAGGAAACCACCACTAAATATTATACGACTTCACTTCCAATTCATCCCACTTGTGTAATAACTTTTAAACTTTGTTCATTTGTAATTAAGCTCAAAGCTACACAATGGGCTATCTGTGCTCTGCACACCACGGGTATCGAAACCCGGATTCTAGCGTTGTAAGTCCGCAGACATACCGCTGTGCTACTGGGGGACAATAACTTTATAAAAGACAGTTTTATACGCTTTTAAGTTAAGTACGATAAAACATTTTATTGACAAGTTATGTCTACATGAAAGCTACAATAGATTTAGTTTGGGTTGTTTCGAGTGGCCCGGCATGGCCAGGTGGTTAGGGCGCTCGACTCGCAATCTGAGGATCGCGAGTTCGAATTCCCATCCCACCAAACATGCTCGTCCTTTTAGCCGTGTGGGCGTTATAATGTGACGGTCAATCCCACTATTCGTTGGTAAAAGAGTAGCCCAAGAGTTGGCGGTGGGTGGTGATTAGTAGCTGCCTTCCATCTGTTCTTTTACTGCTAAATTAAGGAAGGCTAGCGCAGATGGTCCTCGTGTAGCTTTGCGCAAAATTCATAAACAAATATTCGCGTAATGCTACACAAGAGCTAACTGCGCTTGTCGTCCCTAATTTTGAATTAATAGAATAAAAGGAAGGTAATTGTTCAACAGCACACACCGCCAAATCTTGGATTACTCAAATCGATTAGTGGTTTTTCACTGTCACTCTTATAATGCACCCATATCCCTAGGGTGCAGAGCGCGATTTTTTTGCGACATCGGGACGTGAACCCTGGATCTTCGGGTCCACAGTCCGTCTCAGTTGAAGTGGAGGCTAAAACAATATACATATATCTTGATATTATTTAAGCCAACAATAACTTCTGAATAAAATTCTTATTTACGTTTAAGTATTTTTCATGCAATACCATTTTACTAAATACGAATCTAGCTTTGGTAAAAACTTGTAAATTTAGCTCTGTGTGGCTTTCATAGACCATGTGAAATATCTTGTTTATAGTTTTAAAATATGCTCCTATTTTAACATCAGTGTATTCTCTGGTTATTTACAATTATATATATAATGCAAGTAAAAATAAGATTTTAATTTATCCTAATCTAATTTTTAGTATACAATTTAAAAATGAAGTTAATCAATTTTCAATTGTTTGTTGCGTTGTTTTGTTGTTAAGCACAAAGCTACACAATCTGTGCTGTGCTCATCAGGAGTATCTAAACCCGGTTTTTAGCGTTAAAGTCCTTCAGGTTTACCACTGAGCCACTGGAAGTTAAACCAGCTTTTCAAACACACTATTTACACAAATGTAAAATGTTTATGTTATTTTCAGGTAAATTATCCCACAGCGCTGCTTATATCACAAAATCAAATATTGTCGATAAATTCACAATAAACCTTGAACAGAAACGAAATGTGGCAAAATCAATGGAAGTTTAACCTTTTCTGTAACCAGCTTGTTCTTCATGACATTTTGAATTCGGTCCACCGATTATCTTTTTATTTGAACGTGCTCATAAAATGTTTTCCTACACTATAATTATATAGACCGAGGGACGAACGAAAGTCTCAGGAGAGGCCGTAGAAAATACACAATACTGTTAATTAAGGTATACAATATCTACGGATTCATTAGAGGGGTGAGAGACTCAGTCAGGATGTGAAATTTTCTGGGGGCGGAGTTTTTATGGTGAGAAAGTTTGGAAACCCCTGAATCTTTTTGCTTTATAAATGTTTAGTTACACGTTGTCTCAGTTTTTCTCCACTACTTCAAGTCAAATTAAATAATATTTACCAGATTTTTCGTCGGAGAGTCTAAGGTTCATGTCTGAAATTTCAGCTGTGATGGCTTTACAGTATTCATGATAGTGGCAGATGCTGCTGACTAGTTGCCTTCTCTTTGGTCAGCAGTTTTGAATTAGAAACGGTAGTACCGGAATTTTGGGGTCTCTAACTTTGACTGTTTAGCCCACAAGGTGTTTAGGTTGAAAGTACTACACATTTTATTTCTTGTCAAGTTGAATTTTCAATTCGAGCTATCGTCATTTGAATTATAATTTTATAATAAGTTATCATTTCTTTTTTCTTTTTGTCGATGTTTTGACATTTCTAATTTAATTGAAAACATGATAACATAAACAATGGTACAAGCTACTACTGAACACATATAAAACCCTTTTTACTATTAGCATGCGTACTTTGAAATAATCTTAATTTAATAAGGTTGATCTACATAAGGAAAACAGATCAATTTTGCAAGTAAGTAATATAATTTCCTTTTTACTATTAGCATGCTTACTTTGAAATAATGTTAATTTAATAAGGTTGATCTACATGAGGAAAATGGACCAACCTTGCAAGCAAGTAATATAATTTCCTTTTTACTATTAGCATGCTTACTTTGAAATAATGTTAATTTAATAAGGTTGATCTATATGAGGAAAACAGATCAATCTTGAGTGTAAGTAATATAATTTCCGGATACTTTTAACCCAAGCACTTCGGAGCTTCCGAATATGCAGAATCCATAATTCAGTTCTGCAAATCAAGAGAGCTGGTGATGCTTTCATAAAGAGACGTGTTTGAAACTACTTATGTATATGGCAAAAATAATGTAATTGATTTTGGAGTTATCGTTGATCAAAAGTAGTTAATTACAGAAACGAGGAGCGATTGATAAATACAGACACTTTATATACGCACATACATACACAGAGGCATACACGTGCTTGTCATAAAAGGGAACGTTCCGGATATTCGTTTTACTTCCGTAATAATACTTTTTAAATGCTGAATATTGTAGATATGTTTATGTCCGCATAACATTTTTAAATAAATTAATTTGTGCTCCAATATCTGAACAGCTGGAATAATTATATTCAACAAATTACCTTTATAACGAGAAATATTTCTATTAGACACACCATGCAAGAAAGATTGCATTATTTTGTTAGTGCAATCCATTAGAATAAGTCATTACAAAATGTGTTTATAGCAAGATTTTTAAAATATAAGTACAAATGTTCAATTCTCAAGTAGAAACATTGTTGATAAATATATATCTGTGTATGTGTGTGGCATTAACCTTATAGATCCGTAGTGCTATTACATACGTTACGTCAACACCGTAAATTAAACAATGGGGTTTTTAAGCCCTTTTTAACCATCAATAAAGTAACCTAAAATAATTTAGGTATTTGATTAATGTTAGAGTTCGTGCCTAAATCATTATTTCACATTATATATCGGACTAAATATTTAATTATTATATATGTGACGTGAAATTTACAACATATAATATTGTTTTATTTTGTTATTGTGTGAACGCCTTTTCTAAGCTAATTGTTTAGTTTCTGTAGTGCATATTGGAGCATAAAAGACATTTTAATACTAATAATACACGACCTTGGAACACAAAATTTGTTGTTGTTATTCTTTAATGATTATTAAACTGTAAAGCGAAACGTTGAATATCCAATTAAAGAAGAAAAATAATCAATTTGGTGTTATAAGGTCGCTTATTACTATTATTAAAATGTATTTTCTAATCTGACGAAGAATTGTTATAATTAACTGTACTTGTCATAGGACATTATTATTAGGCCTATTATATTTTTAACACTACATTCTTAACTTAGTCCTGTTTGTTTGTAATTAAGCACAAAGCTACATAATGGGCTATCTGTGCTCTGCCACCACGGGTATCGAAACCCGGATTCTAGTGTTGTAAATCCACAGATATACCGCTGTGCTACTGGGGGGCAACTTAGTCCTGAATAAAGAATATGGTGTTAATAATATATACATGAGACCTAATATTAATGTCTTAAGACAAGTATAGTTAATTGTTTTCTTTAAATCGAATAAAGAAATAAATATGAAAAAAAACGTTAAAATTACCGCTTTATCTATATTTCATGAAAATAACTTTTCGTGAATAATTTTAAGACAATAATTTTAATATATAACAGGAATTAAACTTTACTTACCACTGTCGAACTTCCTTTTCTGTGACTAGAAGAAAAAGAAAAATTCTCTTTTCATCAGAAATATTCGAAATAAACAATGAATTAAATGTATTAACCTCCTCTAAGATGCTTTATTAATGTTAATTAGTCACAAGTCCTACTGTGGTAACGCATACTCTATGTTTTATTACTTAATTTGCTTAGTCATTAATATTAGTTGGCATAAAAAAAAAGTACTGTAAGTCTCAACCGAGATCCTGTATAAATAAATATGGAGAATGTAATCATTCCTACTTCCCCTACTTAATATATCTTAATACTAAAATAGTAGCAACCTACCAACCTTTTATTTTTATAATATATACCGGTATGGGTGATATTTACTTAATACTCCGGTACTCCACCATCATACCCTTTCTAATATAATTATTGGGCTACAGCAAACAAAAGAAAAGTCGTATTGTATTAATAATAATAATCGCAGTTTCTGCGTGTTGGTACACAACCATCATTGTACTGACCATGTAAGGTGTTTTATCACTTGTGCTTTCTATTACAATACATACCGGTAACAATAATCGCAGTTTTTGCGTGTTGGTACACAACCATCATTGTACTGATCATGTAAGGTGTTTTATCACTTGTGCTTTCTATTACAATACATACCAGTATTTATTTTGTGTGTGTTTTAGTATAAACGTTCTTACTGAAATATAATAACGGCAAAATAACTATCTTAATGTACATTCAGACCAAACAGATCGATAACAGTGTATGAATCTTTATATAACTATGTGTACATGTGGGATGATGTACACGTACGTACGTTATATCAATTTACGATGTTTGCAGTAAACATTGAAACTCACTTAATAGTCTATTACCTTTATTATTATGTTTTGTGGGGGAGGGATCCTCATAATATACGAAGGTCGTTGAAAAGGTTGAATACGTTTTTGTTTTTTTAAAGTACAAGAACTTGAAACCTGATAATTACAGTTCAATAAAACTTATCTGAAAACACACTAGCGAGCCTTTTATACAAAAAGAATTCGACAATATTTTTAAACTTTTGTTAACCTTCCTCGATAAACTTACCAAATGTGAACCTATGTTCTGTGTTGTAGCATCCCCTGGTGGCGGCTATATCGTGAAGTTTAATTAAATGTGCATGTTACAGAACAAGGGTTATAATATGGAGTTGCTCTACAGTGTAAGAATATCTTAAGGATATAGATGTTTAAAGTTAAAGAGTGTTCAAGAAAAAATGAATAGGATACAACTAACACAATTATTGTTTTAAAGTAAGTTTTTAAAATTACATTTAATGAGATTATTGTAGTTAAATATATGGTCTGTAAATATAAAGAGGCACCACGAAAACCATCTGCCCATAGCTGAGTTTTAGCCTTATGTATTAGGCTAAGAGCTTTTGTATTGCTTGAAGTTAGGAATATGCATAGCAGTATTAAGTAATTAGCTGTTCTCTTAATTAAAAAGACACAATATCTAAATAACTTATTAATTAAGATGAATCTATATCGATAATTTAACAACAATAGATTTGGAAGACGTTTAACATCGGAAGGGTAAGTGGTGCAGGCAACAGTGATTGCCCGAGTGTAACATGTCCTGGCACCATAATGTACCTGTACAGAGGCAAACCGTATTCTGCCTTTCTCTTTCTCTCTTTCTCTTAGAAACTGCAACGGTTTGAACCTTTGGAGGGGGTTGGTCCCCCTTTCAAACATTATTGTGAGGTACAAGCCCATCACTACTACACCAATGAACATTTACTTGTTAAATATTCCTTTATTTAGTAAATATAGTTTGATGAAGAGTTTTTTTATATGTATTATTATTGAGCATGTAATAGTAAACACTAATTGTTTCTATCTTTGAGTTAACTGTAAACACTAATTGTTTCTGTCTTTGAGTTAACTGTAAACACTAATTGTTTTTGTCTTTGAGTTAACTGTAAACACTAATTGTTTTTCTATCTTTGAGTTAACTGTAAACACTAATTGTTTTTCTATCTTTGAGTTAACTGTAAACACTAATTGTTTTTCTATCTTTGAGTTAACTGTAAACACTAGTTGTTTCTATCTTTGAGTTAACTGTAAACACTAATTGTTTCTATCTTTGAGTTAACTGTAAACACTAATTGTTTCTATCTTTGAGTTAACTGTAAACACTAATTGTTTCTATCTTTGAGTTAACTGTAAAACTATTTTAGAACTAACATATTTTAAGCTAGCTATCTGGTTTGAATTCGTTCTGTTATGAACATAATACATGCAGTCAATTGAAGAGTTTTGAACACGCAGAATGTCCAATTCAGTTCGGTATGAAACGTATTTTTGCTAGAGCGACCGTCAAACAGAGCTTCTTTGAAATATGTCTTTACAACACCAGTTTAACGGAGAACTTGAATGGAGGCTGTTGAAATGCCTTTTAACTAGCTATTTAAGTTGAAGCCCACAATGAAATGAGAAAGATTTAACAGGTTGTATAGATAATTTGATTCCAGATTATTCAGAAGACAACTAAGTTTTAGCTCTAGCAAAACATTCGTATATTAGCTGATCCCAACCGTACAGATTCTGATTCATCAGGAAAGATTTAACAGGTTGTATAGATAATTTGTTTCCAGATTATTCAGAAGACAGCTAAGTTTTAGCTCTAGCAAAACATTCGAATATTAGCTGATCCCAACCGTACAGATTCTGATTCATCAGATGATGAAGAGGTCGCTCTAAATTCAGACACTCCAGCCGGTTGGCTTCTAGACCCTCTTAAAGGGTTCCATCTAATCATTGATCGCCATTCTGCCATTATTCTCCACGATCGTTGCTTGTTCTAAGTAAATTGCTATATTTCTTTACCATGAATAGCATCCTGCTTGTTTCTTCAGTTTCTGTACTCTTCTAAGTCTTTAATTCTAAGCTGACATTTTCTCATTTATTTAGAACGTTTGTTGTTATAATTTGCTTGTTGCTACTGCTACAGTTTGTATTTCTTATTTGCCTGAACTTCTATTTCAGATTTTTTTAAGTTTCTTTGCATTTGGTTTTCGGTGTCAACCTTAATTCTCTTTATCACACGTCACCTTTCACGTGTGGAGCAAAAAAAAAAGATGAACTCACCTCGACCATCTCTGGTTCATAGCATAAATACCTGTCATAAAAAATAAAAGAAACTGCACGTTCAAATACTTCAACTGGCAGAGAGACATTATCAGCACGGCTTCAAGATAGATCTGTCACTTTGTTTTCATTTACCACTACTTCAAAACACCCTTAGTTCATCGATTTATGTTCCTTTATGAAGTTGTTCTTTCTCTTTGACAACAATATTGAATATCACGCTATAGACAACACTTCTTTTAATTTGTTTCCTCCCCCTTTCCTTCCCTGTACTTTCCTAATTAGCTTCCGTCTTCTCTGCACTTCTGTTGCCGTTATTTCCTGCTTCTATTGTTTTGCTTTTGTAATTTCCTGTCGTTATTTTTTCTTATTTCTGCTCACCTTTTCTTATTGCCTGTATTAATGTTTGGAGCGATTGGAAATTGTTGTTACTGATATAACGAACTGTCGATCTGTTTCGATTCGAGTTAGATTAACTGATCTTTTTCTAGTGACAACTGGACAGATGGAACTAGGTTTCAAACTTTTATTAACGTTAGATCCAACGTGTTAGGGCTGTGCTCTTAAAACAGTCACAAAACCTGTTTCCTTATTATTCTGATGTTCTCTGTATCTCATCCTGTGAATAATTAGTGTTCACATCGATGGGCTTGATTTGTTTTATCGTTACCACACACTTACAGACTCTGCCAAACATTATTTAGGTTTGCGTTGTTTTTTGTTTTTTTAAAACATATGAATACTACCTTTAATCAACTATCTGCGAGACAAATATGCAATTTGATTTTGTAAATATAGATTTTGACCTAAAAAGAATATCAAAATCTTTGTCTGCTTAACTCTCGAGTCTGTGTTATCGTTTGTGATATTAACAAAAATACCACATGTTATTAGGAGTCTTGATAAATATTATATTAATTTATCCTGTCTCTTAGAATCAAAGGTGGTAACTGTTTGCATGCAATTACTTTAGACCAAGGTTTCCACAAGACTCTGCAAACGTTATCCAAGATACGTGAATGTGTCGTAAAACAAGACTGTTTCCAAGCAGCCCTTATTTTACCTCATCCCTGTTTATTACGCTAAAATCAAAATCTGATTATAGGAGCGAAACCTGAGAAACATCAGAAACAGACATACTTGTATGGACTAGACTCTACACTAATTTCTGAAAGGCGGTATACTATGCTGACGTTTGGATAGGTATGTATTATTCTCATCGACGTTACTGGACTGGTTGGTTGGCGTTCACAAAGTTCTATAATCTCTTTAACAGTTGCGATAGCTGGATCTCAGTGCTGCTGGTTAATGTTTTCGTAATGCATATCTATACAATCAGCTACCAGCACTCTGTCTGTCAACCGCAGGGAATCGAAACCCGGATTTTAGTGTTATAAGTTGGTAACCCTACCGCTGACCAACTAGGAGATGGATACTAATGAAATGAATCTGAAATATTAATGATGAAAAATGAATATACGACGGACAAAAAGTAATTTCTTTTAAGTAACAAATTCGAGGTTCTCTAGCATTCAGCTGCGGATACATATATATATATATTAACCAAGAAAACTCCGTTAAAAGCCTTACGTTATTGAAGTAATAAGAAACAGTACTAACCAAAATTCAGACCCCAAAACTCGAACAAAGTTATGAGATTCAATCAAAATATTTCAACCCAAGAAAGACCAAGATATAAATATTTTGAGGAATCAAAATTTGAAGACAGAAACAATAAGATATTCATATACTTCTGATAATATGTATTGTTTTATGCATAATGATTTTCACAGGTTCACTAAATTGTACATGGAACCTTTAAATCATCCTAGAAATATCATGAAAATAAACCATGAGTATTCGATGCTTCTCATATCACAACTTAAGCAGTTTTACACGT